CCCCCGCCCCCATCCACGGCTGCCCCGGACGCGGTACAGCGCTGGCACTCACATCTCTGCATTGCTCAGGTTCCGGGCCTCCACTATGATTTCCTGCAGCAGCACGGAAACGTCGTCTGGGTGGGGGGACAACATAAATTCTTACTGAATACACAATTCTTTACTTATTGTCAAACTCTTAAAGACACAAACTATCCTGGTCCGCAAATGGGGACAGGGGTGTAAGTACGTACCTAGGTGGGTGAAGAGGTTTTTGGCAACCTGCAGCAGAGCCTGTCAAACAGAAAGGAACAGGTGAGGTGTGGCTCTTCGTTGGACCTTTGGAAGGTGAGGTGTGACCCATTGTTGGACCTTTGGACAGTAAGGTGTGAGGTTAAACAGAAATGGGCGCTCTCCTGCTGAGGGGGTGATGCCTGCCTCCACATGACAGGCCGCATTGCCAGTGACACCTGCTGGGGGTTACCGTGACAGCACAGCCTGGAGGTGCTCTGGTAACGATGGCCCTGACAGGCCAGAGGACTGGGAGCAATGGGAAACTTCACTAATGGGCACAGCCTCTCGGAAGCGTAGGCAGGCGAGCCCTCAGCGCCCCTCCTTGGGGAGGCAAATGTGTCTCAGCGCCCAGAAATCTTGACGTGGAGCCTCCAAGGATTCCTCCCCCCCCAACCGTAACCCCCTTGTCATGTCTCCAATCTTTGTGATGGAGCAAAATTAGTTTCGCTAAAGGTGGCTGTGAAAAACAGTCGAAGCAGAAGGCCACTCGCACATGTGACCCCAGTCCTGCCCTACAGAGTCCTGCATTATAGAGTCCTGCATTATAGAGTCCTGCCCTACAGAGTCCTGCCCTACAGAGTCCTGCATTACAGAGTCCTGCCCTACAGAGTCCTGCCCTACAGAGTCCTGCATTACAGAGTCCTGCCCTACAGAGTCCTGCCCTACAGAGGTCGCCCTCTGCCATCTTGTTCCTGCTGCTGCCCAGCGGGTCTGACACTAGCCGGCTATCTACTCGGCGCCTGCTCTTCTACACCCCCAAGGGGTCAGAGTGCGCCATGCCGAGTATAAGCAGGAACCTGGGCTTCCTTACCTGGCACTCGAACTTCAGCTTCTGCTCCTTCTGGAAAGCCAGGGTGCTGGTCAGTACGGTGGATGTGTAGCAGAAGCAGTGCTGGATCTTCTGTTCATCCTCCTCCGTGTACCTGAGTGCGGGAGAGGAGGAAAGAGAGAGCGAGAGATAGAGGAAGAGGGAGACGATATGTTGTTATGGAGCAGGACGCAGAGACAGTCCCTGACACTCCCTCACTGGAGCGTGGAAACACCAATGCCCACTCTTATGCCCACTCTTATGCCCACTCTTATGCCCACTCTTGCACTTGGCCCCAAACTCCTGGGCGTGCTGGTGGGAATCAGTGTCAATGCTCCACTGCATGGGGGGGAGCTGAATTAAAACAGGAGAAAGCCATGCCCACCCCCATAGACCTTCACTGTCAACATCCCAATTGCAATAGCAGGGCCCAGCTGCTGTGATTCTGTCACCCTTACACTGACCCATGAGTAACTGTCTGCACCTTCACATCTTTCATATACAGACTTTTAGATCCTGCGCCTCTATCACAATTATGCCTCCTGAAGCCACACCCCCCCCCAGAAGCTCCTGGGTCCTCCCAAATGGTTTCTATTCGAGACACAGAAGCGAAATGTAGCAGTCAGGCCCCGTCTGGCCATTAAACGTCTCCCCAGGACACGCTGAAACTCATCAACGCAAGCAGGCCTCCTGCTGCATTGTGGGAAAGCTGAAATATCACATTCAGCTGTACGTTGGGGGAGGGAGGTCGCGTCCCCCCCAACACGCTGTCACCGAGCACGAGTGAGAAAGGCATCAGCACCTATATCAGGACGGTGTTCAGCTTTACCCACAATGCCCTGCAGCTTGCAGCTTTGCCACATTGTTAATCGTTTCCAATCTACTAGCTGTATGTCGGGGGGTTGGGTTTCCACCCTGAACACTGGCTGCTGTTTACTCGGCTCGTTTTTTAATTGCCTAAATGTAGTAATTATTTGAATACTAAGCTCCATCACCTGCTGTTTTATGTGTAAATAAGTCATTAATTAAAATGCATCGTCTGGAACAGAACCATGGCCCTCGAGAACTAGAGTTAGTACATTTTTAGCCTTTTCAGTCCTTCAGCATGGCTGGACATCTGCAGAATCATTATTTCTATTCATGGCTGTACACATGCACGGCCTGTTAATGAGTGCGCCCCCTGGCTGACGGGCCCTGCACTGCCCTCTGCGTCTGGGCGAGGGGGAGTCACTTCACCACACAAGTTCCTGCTTTATTACATTTGTTCTCCATCAAAGTGTCAAAGTGAAAAGACAAGAACACAAAAGCAAACGAAAAACAAGTGACAGGCTGCAGCCTCAGGGTTACAGTCCCGGGAAGGAGAGCACAATGACATCCGGCGTCGACACGGAGCTCCAGGAGAAAAACAAACGTCTGGAGAGCATTTTTTCCGCCTGACTGGCCCGTTGTTGTCGGCCCCTGATGGACAGGCCGCGCCTGTCTGCGTCTCCCCGCGGCACAACACGGGTCACGTTTCTGGGCTCCGTCGGCAGAGCCCTGGCATGATTTCATTCCTTCGCACGTCATTTTTATCCAGGAGTGGAACGCGTCGGATAATGCGAAACATAAGCTGTGACATGTTTCATACAATCACAGGGCAAAGAGAGCTGGAACGGAAAGGACGGCAGCGAGGACGCAGAAGTGAAACAGACCGCGGTCTGGATGTCGTCAGGATGCGGTCGGGACCTGGGTCACTGTCATGGCTGATTCTGCTGGACCACTGCCATCTCCTCAATTGCTGTCCAGCTCCAGATCAAGCACGTGACAGGTCATGACCCTTCATGGCCCTGGCTGAGTGACGGAGGCGTAGTGGGTTGCATCAGCAGTGGTATCCTCCAGAAAAAGAGGGCGATGTAGCACTGGACTGCCCTGGACGCCTATGAAACAGGCCCCAAATCGCTGCTGCTCCACCTGCCGGCCTGACTGCTTCCCCGCTGGTCAGAAATGCAGATCAGACTCGCAAAGACTAAAGGGAAACAAAAGCCAGCGCGGGTAATACAGATATAATAAAAAATCTCTCTCTCTCTCTCTATCTATCTATCTATCTATCACGTGCTTCCATTAAAGAGTGCCCTATGTGGAGGAGGCTGGGCGAAGCAGAGCGGCCTCAGCTCTGCCGGACAACAATCCCACTCCCCAGCGGCCTGCAGGACAGACTAACCCGAGTCTCTGCCACTCCAGACACCCCCAGAAAACTCCCCCAGAGAAGCCATGCAGACCCTTGCCTGTGGTCTGGGAACCTCTGCCTTGAATAAAAGCATTAATATATGAAGTGTAAGAGAGTATCCAGAGTCCTGTTATAAACCCATCAGAACACACCAGACAGTGGGACATGAAGCATCCCATAGTATCACAGCAGCTTCCAAGATTTTTTGTTTGCAAAATGAGCTTAAGTTTCTCTGCAGGATCCTGCCTTTTCACCACGGACTGCATGCCAGACACTGTCCGAGCCTCGTGGTCACGGCGTCGAGCAGGTTGACAAACAGGTGACAGGCATGCAGAGCAACATTCCACGTCCCCAGCAGGGGGCGCTCACTCACTTCTGCCCACCCCTCTTGTTGAAGGTGCAGGCCAGGGCCACCACTTGGGAGGTGGCGCGGCTGATGACAGGGACACACAGCATGGACTGGGCCTCGAATCCCAGCATGCTGTTCAGCTGCCGGTGTTCCTCCTGCGGGAGCGAAAGATGGATGGATGGAGAGAGGGAGGGAAACAAGAGAGAGAGAGAGAGGGAAACAAAAGCATGACATGAGCTCGGCAACGCGGCCTTTATGCTGCACGCACGCAGTCAGGGACGAAGCCTCACCCTCCCCACGCTACGTTTCAGCCTAACACAACAGCCAAACCCAGGGGGGGGGGCGGGAGACCCTTCCTCCCCCCCACCCCGGCTAATGTGACTAATGACAGGGCCCGCACGTCCACCTGGCAACAGCTGTGTGTACAAACATCCAGCGTGCTCTATTGAGGACCAATTAGGTGTAAGCTCCTGTGCAGCTGTGTGCTGGGCAGCCATATGTCAATGGGCCGGCTGCGGTGCGGCTGCGGGCCGGCTGCGGTGCGGCTGCGGGCCGGCTGCAGTGCGGCTGCGGGGCGAATGGAGAGCTCCAAAGCCGCCTGAGTATCTCTAGCAGGTTACTTAGCTTCGTTTCTCAGAGCCACTGCCACACAGTTAACAGCTCGAGTCAGGATCCATTTGGACAACTAGACATG